GGATGTAACTAACAATCTAACCCTAATAATAAATCCAACTTTTTAGAAATAATATTCCTAACCGATGTAAAAATTATTTAAAAAAAAGTAAGTAATTATCAGGGTCAGTACATATTTCTAATAATCATCGACCTAAATTGATAAAAAATGGCTTATTTTCTAAATTTAGAAGTAATCAGTTAATTACTTGTCATCATTTTTCTATTAATATAATAATTCGTGTAGGTATCATCTGATATCAATATTTTTTATGTTACTTTGCCACTGGTAGAAATATAAATGAGATTTGTAAGTCCGACAACTTTCTATTGTTTAAATGTTTTAAACAGTTATATTCCCATGTACGAAACAATTCCGCATGGTTTTTGACACCCTGTATATTGTTGTGGGAATATTTTTATGTATGTAGGTCGATTTTGAATATTTGTTTAGACATGTGTGTGTATTTATTATTGTTTCTGATAGCGCGCTTATCTTTCGCCAAAAAAATTACTACGGGTATGTAATATGTAACCAGGCTAAAAAAACTTTCATCAAAGTAAATATTTATGTAACGTGAATTTGTATTAGCGTTGTTTTAATGAAGTTAGTTGGAAGCAAACTTAATTGATTTGAAGTGCACAGGGTAATTTAATTATTTATTAATTTTGCCGCTACACAAGTTGCGAATGTTTGCAATAGAACAAAATGCGAGTTTATTTTTAAAAGGGCCCACCCACGATCAGCTGTACGATTCGAAAAGTTCAACAATAGAAGCAAAATGAGCTGCGTTTGCATATATAAACTGCATACAGCTGAGTACACGAACTTTTATGTAAATATTTGACAAATCGTAGCGACAATATACTTTTATCCACTGCCTTAGATTTATGCATTATTATGTATACATATATCACAATATCTGAGCAAAATTATGGTAATTTTTTGATTTAACACACCCAAATAACCTTATTAATTTATTTAGTTAGTTAGTCTTTTGGTTACATAGGTACGCCATATTGAAATTAGATTTACGTCACGTATTCTGTTTGAAAAAAACCTTTCATTTGATACCCATGTCAAGGAGGTTGTGAAGAAATAGGTAATCCGCCATGTTGGGACGGCCGCCATATTGGATTTAGTATGACGTCACTCACCTTACCGTTTTCTACTCGTCAAACCCTTTCATTTGATACCCAAGTCAAGGAGGTTGTGAAGAAACAGGTAATCCGCCATATTGGAATTAGAATCTCATCACCTTACCGTTTTATACTTTTCAAGGCCTTTCATTTGATACCCATGTCAAGGAGGTTGTAAAAAAACAAGTAATCCGCCATCTTGGATTTAGTATATGACGTACTGAACAGACAGACAAAAAAGCAAGTTAATAAAAACGTGTTAGTACCTACAGCAATTTGAATTTTTTAATGATGAATCCAAGATTCCAAAGTTCTTTATTCCTTATTTATAAAACAATTAATTTGATTTTTTAGTTTTATCTTATTACCAGGAAGCTTAATGCGATTCTTTCCCATACTGTTAAATAGAAGTAAATAACCAGAATAAATTTAAATAAAATTCTTACTTACCTTTTATTTTCTCTTATTTTGTTGATATTTTCTTCTATTGAATCGGTATAAAATACAATTGATCATTCATCAGCTGATTTTTATTGGCATTGGCCCCTCTCAGTTAATAGGCAATTTATCATATTTAAATAACAATGGAAACAATAAATTATACATTTTTATGCCAATTACTTAAAGTGGCAATACATTGATTTTGCCATTTCGACTGAGAAAAACAACAAAATGTCTTTATATTTTAATGTTAGTCTATGGCCAATAAAACTTATCATAACTAACAGTAAAATACCTTTACGTGCGGTACATTAGAGAAGGCCAAGTTCTTTTTATCTTCCCAAATGTACACTTGTAATATTCGAAAAATCAATGTATCCAAAATGATAAGCAATATCAGAATTTTTATGATAGGTCGTCGACCTTTGTTACTTCCTTTGCTCCGTAAAACAAATCCTTTAACATTCAAGCGCCCATAGATAACGAAATATAAACAATGGTCTGCATAAAATGTTAATTTTTTGACCATTACTGTGCTTTTTTTACGAAAAACGTGAATCAGTTTAACATTAATTAATACGTTAGGCAATATTAATATCAAGTGTTATAATATAAGTTATAGAGGATCAAACAGGATGTAACGAGTTTTGAATAAATAATACCAAATTTAAGAAAGCTATCGCGTTAAAACTACTAATTTTAATAACTAGAAATATCGAATTTAAGTGGAAAAGCTACTTCATAATTAATAGTAAATAAAAACTAATTTACAATGTTGTGACTCACAAGAAGCAGTAAGCACAGTCAATTTATTCTTATTCATAAAATAAACTCTTGGCCGATTCCACACGATCATCGTTATTTTATTCTCTCTATTCACCCTGTTGTGTGTGGTACCCACTGCAAGCTACCGTATACCGAGCGCATTTACAGTTTCTGCATGCACTACTTCCACCTTAATTATTGAATCTGGATTACTTTATAAATATAATTACCTACGATGAATTTCTAATTGATGCGTTCGAACGCCACACGAAATTCTATTTTTCCCCAAGATACCTTTAAGCTTGGGACAGATGACATCGTGACTCACCTCAGGTAAAAAAGACCCGACGTTATTCACAATTAATCGTTATCTATTGCTAAACGTTAATATGCAAGCGTTTTATCGCGAAATTTTCGAGCTCGGTTCAACAAAACGACCTTGGTATTATTAATAAAGAACAAGAATATTTTCTAAAAGTGGAATACACAGTTCTTCAACTTGTTCATGCAGAAGCACTCGTTTTTTATTAAAATTAATTCATCAAACCCTAAAATGATATTAGTATGGTGGAAATATAAAATTTTATGTTGTATGTTTTTACCTAAAAATTACTAAATAATGGGATTAAGTGAAGTAAAATTCCTGAATGATTTATAAGGCACATTTTTCAGTTTAACTTGAATGAATAACATAATTATCGTTAGCAAATGAAGCAAAACGTATACGTACATATGTGTATCATACAGAGAGCATATTTAAAACAGGTGATGGAATTTTGCAATTTAACTTATTAAATAGTATGGCATGTTGAATTTCAGCCTACACTAGTTTCTCTAGCAACATTTAAGTGCCATAAAACAACATTGCACAGTGGACAAATCAATTGAAAAATGTTGCAATTAAATTCTGGCATGAATATAAAAATAGGCTCATCTTTTAAGACCATGTGGGATTTATATTAATAGAAATTTCACGTAAAATTATCATACAATAATAAACTTTTACTAACCTAACGAAACAAAAATTATATAAATCCTTTCCCAGAAATGACAACAAACAAAGAAACTTTGCTAATTTTGCGATAAACCGGTTATCTGATGTATTAAAATCCTTTTATCAGCGCTTAACGAGACAATAATTTTCCATATCGTCTATTTGCTCGAATAATATTTGCCCAGAACAAAAATATTGGCAATGAAAGTGCGACTAATTTTAGTTGGTGCTAAAAAATAAATAATTCAATTAAACTTCACGCATTCATTTTGATGATGATGCAATGCGTGTACAAATACGCAAAGTTTACAAAGCGATTTAACAGTGACGAAATCGATGTGGCCAGCCATTGAATTATTTACCTTAGTGTTAGTAAATAGCAAACTATGATAAACAACTAGTGTTCAAAAATTGATTTTTGGACACAAGGTTTTTATTTTTAAATTAAATTAGTGGTAAAATATAAAAATAATAATACCTGTTTGTGCTGATGGAGAATGAACTGTATGAATTGAAACAATGAGTCCACTTAATTTTTTTATTATAATACGTATATATCACAAATCCTTTTTGGCTCTCGAACACACATTCTATTTTATTTACTTACAAAAACATTTATTAGTTTATTTTTCTACAAGCACGCATCTTCAAGCACACATCACTTTTTGATTGAAGAATGTTTAATTTTTTTTTAAATATTTTACAAAACACAGATCTCTGATAAAATTATGTTATAATATAATATATACATATATGAGCTCAGATAATTACAAAAACGTAGATGATATTCATTGAGGCCCGTTATTTTACGTAGGATGGCCTGATGGGTAAAAAACCGCAGTTTTATAATAAATATGTATGTAAATAATAGGGACAACAATAGTGACGTTTTAGGCCGTACATAGTACCATCCATGCGTTTAGTCGCAAAATTTCTATAATCAGGCACTATCATTATAGATCCTATGGTAGATATGACTTATATCATTTTAAAAAACTAGTAAATAAAATATTTTTGCATCATTTACGAAGATTTTGTTCAATGTATAAAAATATAGATATTGTGCAGTTCTAAGCCATTGAAGTAAGTATACTAAAAATGAGCATTTACAAATAACATCCAGTTAATTGGATTGGATTGGCGCTAAACTGTAGTAAATAACAGTCAACAACAAACAGTCCTTGTGTAGGTCCAGTCTCCGAACTGATTTATTTTTTTTTAAATCAGACCTCCTCCCTTATCGCTCCTTCATGGCTCGGCTCGGCTACGTTACGTTGTTTTGCTTGCTGCAGCTCACCAGCTCACCAACAACAACATATCAACAACAACAAAACAAACACAAAAACAAGTCTTTCTTTTCCATCTTCGACGACGACATCTACAATAAAATTGATAAAATAGTTGAAGTAGTAGTTGCTGCTGCTGCGTCATATTCTTCTGGTATACATTTATAATAATAATAATAATAGTAGTAGTAGTAATGTTGTATAATTGGTATATAACAAACAATCAAACAAACACATTGTTCCCATGTAAGTAGTAGTATGTATTGTATCCGGCGACGGCTACGTTGAGGATGACGACGGTGGCGGTGACGATGGTTGTTTTAATCAATTAATTAATTAAAAAGAGTAGTTTATATTAGCAGTAGTAACTGGTAGCTGCTCGGCTGGTTGTTCGTATTAGAGCACGGTACAGCAGCAATAGGGTTTTTTAACTTTTTCGGGGCTAACGTTCATTTCGCGTACGATTTCTGCGAACACTTCGTTCACGTTGGTTCGGTTTTTCGCACTTGCCTCGATGAAGGGACAGCCCCATTGCTGCGACAGAGTGCTGCCCTCGGAGTAGTCCACCTCGCGTTGGTGATCCAAATCGACTTTGTTGGCGACTAGCAGAATCGGCACCCGCTCGGTGCCTTTGACTCTCGTGATCAACTCTTTCATCGTCAGGATGTCCTGGAAAGTCTGGTGGTTCGTCAAACTGTACACCACCACGAACCCCTGGCCGTTCTTGATGTAGAGGTCGCGCATGCTGGCGAATTGTTCCGTACCTGCTGTGTCCAAGATCTCCAACACGCAGGGGGAGTTGTCCACCTCGATTTCCTTGCGGTAAAAGTCTTCGATTGTAGGATCGTATTTTTCCATGAAACATCCGGAAACGAATTGAACCGTCAGTGCACTTTTCCCAACCCCACCCGATCCGAGGACAACTACTTTAAACTCACGCATTGTTCCTTACTCCAAATCACTACTTTACTTTGCTTTACTTCGCTTATTTCGCCCTTCACACCACACCCCACGCTCCCAATTCACACGACACAACAAACACTGGACGGTTTTTTCTACTAATATTGTCATTTATCTCATTATTTATATCCATTTCAATAAACAGTCAAACTATATTCGCCATCTTAGACCACAGTTCATCTCGGAATGTTATTCATAAACGTAAAACCACGAGGCCAACTCGGAACAAGCTGGTGGGAGGCAGGTTTTCTTATCCGTCCAAATGACTTGCGCGTCCGAAAACGTCTAAATTGCATTCGTCATCCTCGCGCCATCTATCCCACATACAAACCACTACTTACAGAGTTCTATCACCCACTTTATTTACCCAATGCATAGATAACAAAGACTACTTTTATATCTTAAATTGTACTTCGTAATGTCGTGCAAACCAAAAAAATTAAAAACGTTGTACGTTAAGTTTTTGGAAAAGTTCGACGTTCAATTAAAAAAAGTGTTATAATTTATAATTTAAAGGCTTGATGATTTTTTTTTAAATCGTAATTTTTACACAATCAATTTTTGTGTGGAATCATAAAAAGTTGCACCGTCCTGAGATAACAAAATTTTAAAGAATTTTAACTCAATATATTTTTTAAACATAAAAATTGTTTTTCATATTTAATTAATTAATACTTTTGATTATTAAAAATTATAAACTTAATTAAAATAAAAAAACATTTTATTGTAAATTAATTGAAAACAAAAACTATTTTCGTACAGACAAAATAATACATTAACATAACATACATAAACAAAAATATTTTTTAAAAGATAAAAGTAGGTATTTTTCTATAAAATCCGGTTAAAAAAGTTTCATACTCTAATATATTAAAATTGTCGACATATTTGTTTGTTTGTTTCTTATTCTTTATCTTTTAAAATTATATCAGCGGTAGTATACTATTATAATTGTCATTTTATCAACAATGTAAATAGGTAACAATTTAAAAATATCTTAAAGTTGTGTACATATATAACTATATATTGCTATATCTTCCATAAACTAATTGAGACGCAAATATATAAATATAATAATATAATATAATAAAATATATAAATAATTATTAATAGTTAACTATTATATACAATATTGTATATATTGTAGGTACTATTAGAATTTTTGTGAATTTATATACACGTGGATAAACTTCTTAAGCGTCGTTATTAGGCTACGCTCGTGCATAATTAAACTCGTGATATAAAATAAACCTACTATAAAAACACTATTTTAATTACTTTTCATTTAAAATTAAATATTTTTACCTTGAAAAGTAATCTTAATTTAATTTTAAAACAAATTTGTGGCGGATTAAAAGAGGTGTTTTTGTAAATTAATTTTACAAATAATATTGTGTGTTAGTATGTAATTATAAATGTCACTGAAGAAAACAAGTGAATGATCTGTGCTGATAAATATGATGTTTACATTTTTTAAACCTTATTTCTCTTGATAATACTCGTCTCAAGAATATTGGTTTAGTTTCAATTATGCCTGACTTAAGGCAGTTGAAGAAAATTCCCATGTTTATTTGCATTAATATTAGAAAAATTTTCAAATTCAAAACCTCCGCCAAAAAGAAGGGATACTTCAAATTTTACACCGAGGAAGAACAACGGTTTGAATAAGGGAACGCATTTTTTAATTTTTTTTGTATAATTTTAATTTTCTCTTGCAGCTGGTTGGACGAGTATTCCGCAAGGACCTCGCAATTACCCTCCCGGATTGGTATCCCTTTCTTTGATTGAAGGAACTCGAGTTCCCTTAAGTTTAAGATGGACCAAATCATATATTCATTGATAAACAGTCCACTTTATTTTAAAGCAGGTGAGTAATTTGACATTAATAATCATTTGTCATTAATAATCATTTAAACTTTACTTTCCTTAGAAAATGATCTCTATAAAAAGCAATAATTAAACCAATCAGCGCACGGCATTCTCCACAGCACACTACCTTCGAAGGAGAATGCCGATCTCTGATTGGTTTATTGCATAGAAATAATACTATTAAATTATACTATTATTTCTATGGTTTATTGCTTTCTATGTAAAATAATAATAATATAGAGATAATTTTATATAAAAAGAAAAACAAAATATTACTTTATAGAAAATTAATGAAGAAAATGTAATTAATAAAAGTGATATTTTTATATCAAAAAAGTAATAAGCGATAACCCTATAGGTTTGATTAAAAACATTATGTTCTGCAGTTGGGTTAACGGCCAAAATGTTTTGTGATTATTGATTTTTATAGTGGCGTTGTAAACAACTTTTTTAGTAAACAACTTTAATTCAAAATGTCTCCTTAAACTCGTGTGAGTATTATTTAATTCATGTAGGTATGTAAGTAAGTACCAAAATAATTTGTTGTTTTTCACAATCCACACAACATGTGTGGATTGTGTTGTTTTTATTACTTTTTAAAGTAATAGGAACAACGCTTTGCAGTATTTTCTAATTATGTCATGCATCAAAAACACGAAATGACGACAATGTGAATAATTGGCTAGTGGTTTTTTAATCGAGTAGTTTTTGTTAAAAAATAGCAAAATTGAAATAAATGAATCTATTTTAAAATAAAATCGTTTCAGTAGGTGTCTAAATTTAGATATCGAGTTTAACTCAAGTTACCAAAGATAAGTGTTCTCATTTTAAAAGTTGACTAATGTGTGAGTACGTGTACTTAACTAATCATGTGAAAGTTATTTGAATCCTAATTAAAAAAGTAATTCTTAATTTTTTTGTTAGGTTAAGTAAACTTTGACTGAAATGTCGTATCCGCCGCCTCAAGGACACCAGGGCCCATACCCATCCTCCTACAACGGTAAACAAACACTTAATTTTCAATAATACACTTAATAAACATAATATTTTATCAAAAAAACAGCTCAGTATCCCCCAGCCCCACCCCCGGGCTATGCAACCCCAAACGCACCGGGGCCATACGGTCCTCCCCCGGCGTACGGACCAGGGGGTTACCCCCCTCCAGGAGGATACCCTCCACCCGGCCCTGGAGGGTACATGGGACCCCCCATCACAAATCAGCCGATGGCCCAAGGTGGACCCCCAGGTAAGATTTTCTTTTTTTATTTTTATGTTTTTATCCACATCAATGAGTCCCACCTTGACATGTAAGGTTATCATGTGTTGGTTTAACGCTAATTTAAAAAAAATAATATTTTGGTGTTGTGTTTACATAAAAAAATATTGATTTATTATCAAAAGTTGAAATAGCGTTAAACTGACTAATAGATAACCTCAATTATTTGTATTCAAATGTACATATATTTTTAAACTTTCCTCTATTTACGGCACTTTGATTTCTGGCAACCCCATTAATTAAAGATATCAACAAATGTTAAATTTGACTTTTGATGTCATTGTGTAATCTTTCCATTTGAATTAGTTGTTATGAAATACTTGCTTAATTATGTGATAAAATTGTATTGATTGGAAAAAATTAATTGCTTTAACTTAGTTTGGTCACAGTTAGTCTCAGTATCATCTCTATGGTATTCAGTCGTTTTTATGTAATATTTAAAATTTTATTCAACAATTCAATACAAATGCATATTTCAAGTTTATTTCGCAAAATTATAAATAAATTTAAAAGAACCAACAGAAAACAGGAGGGATACGTTAAATTGTACACAGATGAACAACTAAGGTCTTTTAATATTTGGTTGGTTAGTAATATATTTTTTTAATGCTGTTTTTTATTTTTTTTGATAGGTACATGGATGAGTCTGCCGCAAGGGATTCCCAATTGTCCTCCAGGACTGGAGTACCTTACTATGATTGATCAACTACTGGTCCACCAAAAAGTTGAAGTCCTCGAAGGTAAGTTTTTTTTATTATGAATATGCAAAGATATGTATCCCAGCAAACACAACCATAAAGGTTCTATAATGGCCCTATAAAGGCTAACAAGAACCATTCCAAGCTAAAGGTTCTAATATGGGGTGTTAAAGATTTTAAAGTGGTTATTTAAATAATTTTTAGTGGATAAGTGAAGTGTCTTTTATGTGGTAAACTTATTAGATAACGATATTCCACGAAAATCAGAAATTGTTATCCCTACCGTCACAATACAATTTCTGACGGTCGGGATAAAAATTTCCGATAGCTTTTAATAGTTCTATTAAAACATTTCTGTAAAGGCCCAGTACTTACTTACTTATTAAGCCATGAAACTATGTAATGGGCCATTACATAATTAGATTTATCTCCACGCGGTCTATAATTTAAACTTTATTGTTGTCAACATTCGATAAAGAAATACCTTGTTATGGCCTAGGCCGATAAAAATTTTTATGAGGCAAGTAATTAGTTCGATTTTTTCTCGCTAGGGGTATTGTTTTGACAAATTAATCCTTTTCTAAGAAATTAACGTACTAAATTTATTTATAATAAGCACTAATTTGTTTGTTTTACTGTTAATGTTTAATATTTTTCATTAAATTATTGTAAAATTAAATATGAATAATAAAACAAAAAGTGAGGTTAGGCAACCAAGAAAACGCACGATTCTTTTTCTACGATTTAAATTATCTTTAAGTTTTCAGTGAAAGTAAAGCTTAAACATTCCAAACTAGCTATTTTTTAAATAAAAATCCAAACAAATTGAAATTAGATACCTACCTATTTATTAAACAATTAATTGATTTGAATGTAATAGCAAAAATCCTTTTCTACTTAAATCATGTAGCTAGGTATTGTCAAACTATTACTGCTTCTAAAAGCAATAACAATTATTGTACATTTAATGTAATCTTTAGCTAATAAATAAATGAGATTCTAAAATAGTGAGGTTGGGCCGCTTTGATGTTGAATCCCCCTTTAAAAAAATGGTTGGCATCTTTTCAGCCTTGACTGGATTCGAGACAAAAAACAAGTTCACAATAAAAAACAGCCTCGGCCAGAAGGTGTATTACGCTAAAGAGGATTCCGACTGCTTGACGAGGAACTGCTGCGGCCCGCTGCGGCCGTTCGACATGAACATCTTGGACAACTACAAGAACGAGGTGATACACCTGCACCGGCCGCTGGCGTGCGATTCGTGCTGCTTCCCGTGCTGCCTGCAGAGCATGGAGGTCTCGTCTCCGCCCGGCACCATCGTGGGCAGCGTCGAGCAGGAGTGGAGCATCTTCTGCCCGACGTTCGCGATCAAGAACGCCGGCGGCGAGACCGTTTTGCGGATCGAGGGGCCGTGGTGCACGATGAGCATCTGCGGCGACGTCGAGTTCAAGATAATGTCGGCCGATGGCAGCGTGCAAGTCGGCAAGATTTCCAAGCAGTGGTCGGGACTCATCAGGGAGATGTTCACCGATACCGACTACTTTGGGATCACCTTCCCCATGGACTTGGATGTGAGGATGAAGGCAGTTATGCTCGGAGCGTGCTTTTTAATTGCAAGTATTATTAATGTAAACATTTGTTGTTATTAAAAAAATTAATTTACAGGATGCTATGTTCTTCGAAAAGGCCAAAAGTGGAGGTGAAACTGCTGCTTCTGCTATTTAAATTTTTATCTACAAATATATACAATAAATAACATATATTTTTGAAACGCATAAATTATATATAAATATAAACGTATTACACACAATATAAGTATAAATACTGCCCTGCCAAGCCGAAAGGCCGTATCTACAATATTAAGTAATAAAGATAAAAATTTAATATTTATTGTTTTTACCCAATCTTTTATCTTTACTTGCTTAATATCGCAGATATGGCCTTTCGACTAAGCAGGACACAACTAACTGTTGTTGGCTATGTATTCTGCAAAATGTATTTATTATTCATGTTTAAAAAAATCTTTTATTAATTAACCCTTTTTCATGTATTTATTTCATGATTTTATCGAATAAAAATGTTAATTTTATTTTTTGTTTTATTAAATCAACTAGGTGCTGTGCAAAAGAAAAAAAAATTGAGAAAAGTTGCCCAAAAACAATTTGAAATCTAAAGATCAATTTGTTAAAATTAATAAAATTGAGTCGGTATAAAAGATTTCTGTCAAATAAATTTTAAAAATTGAACAAAATTCATAAAAATTATTTAATAAAGTTATCTGTAATTCGAGCGTTTTGCTACCGGATAACAGATGGCGCTGTTCACCGCTATTATTTTTATATCTTGACTCTTCACAACACCAAACTACTATTATTTTTATATCACACATTAAGAATGTCAAATTGAGCTAGCTAAAACAGTCTTAAAGAATGTTAGGTTAGGATTTTAGAAGTTGGATAGTAGTGCGTCGGATGGCTCCGACCACCCCAATGCCCACCCCACCGGCGATGACTTACTTTTATAGGTGAAGCCACCTGGCGGTAAAACTTGGAACTAAAAATTTTAAAGCGCCCTCTAGCGGACGAAATACGAACTACATTTTATATTGTGCGATGGTGGCGCCCTCCTTGAAGCGGTGGCGAAAAGTGGAACTAACATTTTAATTTTGCGCGAGCGATGGTAGCGCCCCCTTAGAGTTGTGGCAAAAATTGGAACTAATGTTTTAATTTTTCGTTTCCAATGGTAGCTGTTAATTTGAACTTGATTAATGTTTTATTTTACCGCTTACAGGTAATCAAGATTTTTTAAATTTGCATGATTTACTCACCTTATTTTATTTAGATTATTTTGAATTTTTAATTTATATTTAAAAAATATGAAATAAAACAAGGAAATTAATTTGAGATTTTTTATTTAAATTTATTTTTTATAACATTTACAAATATACAATTATACAATAAATCTTCTTGTTCCCTTTAGACCTTCTTGAAGTGCCCTGTAAAAAAATAATTTAATTAGTAAATTTTTAGTAAAAACATAATACTTAATAATTAATTTTCTTTTAAAAATTTTAATTTATTAATAAGCAAAGTCCAAGTTTGAAATTACAGAAATTTAGTTAAATATTTGTTTCAAAGGATTTTTTTATTAGAGGTTGTTTATTAAAGAGTTAGGCAATAAATATTTTGAAATTTACCTAATTTAAAAATTGTATTCAAAGGGTATTTTTTCAAGGGATAATGCAAGATTACAAGTAAAAATTTCGAAAATTTTGAAAGATTTGTGACCAACCTATATTATTTAAAAGTATGCACCATAAAACTAAAAATCTTGTAGTGAAAATTCAACTTTTCGCTGCCTTTTGAGCAATGCGAAAATGGCGAATTTCTGAGGAAAGCAGAGAACTCAACTTTCACATCTAAAGCTAATTTTTTTATGGCCGAAAAAATCAGAATTTTTTAAATGTCATGGAGCCTACACAATGACTAGAAACTTAATAGTAGGTACTCATTTTGTACTGACATCTGCTGTTTTGGTACCATTTCCGTACAAACTAAACAAAACACCAGCACCCTCCTATTATGGAAAACCATTTGTATAAATGTTCCTTGTGTAGGCTCTATGTTCACACTCTCCTATTGCCATTCGATATGTAATTAACTATACAAAAATCCTTATAATATTCGGGACAAGGCTATATAAAACTAAAATTCTTACCACGGCAGCAGTAGGTATTAATTTGCTTTATCCAATTGGAACCCAAATCTTTCAAGAAGCATCTAATTTCGCCACTCTCATAATACACATGGTGTGGGACCAGAACCTTAGAGATAATAAAACAGTATAAATGTCAATTTTAACAGGTTCGAATAAGACTTAAATATAAATATGATTAAGGACAAGACTTTTACTTGTAAAACGTTTACCTTTTTAATACTACATAATCTTAAACTATGTAATTCATTACATTAAACTAATAAAACACTGTAAACTCTATTTATAAAGAAAAATAAATAAAAAATAAACGACACATAACCTCAAACTGAAAATTTTTGACAGTAGTTTAAATGTCCCATTTACAAATGTTAACGCTAAGACATACGTCTATAATATGCAACCCATATTACAGCTTCGGATTTCGGGTTGTATATGTTCAATTACGTTTTATTTATTATTTATTATAGGATTTTATTAATTAAATTTATGTAATTTAATGCAAAAAATATCATTTAAATTTGTATTTGTTAAAAACGAAAGAACTTACAGTTCAAATATATAAAAAAATAACCATTTTACAAGTGTGACATTCAACAATTTTGGAAAGGAAATAAAAATCAAAATTCTCACCTCAGCATTGTTTGTAAGTTTGTGTACTATTCGTAATTAATGGTTCATGCACTGTAACCTTTAATACACTACTTCTTAGTATTTTAATTAATATACCTACCAGGTGTAGTAAATAAAATATAAAATACCCATAACCAGTGTTGCCAACTTACCAATTTAATCTAAAAAGTTTCTGGTTTAACTCACAACTTGAACAATGAATTGTAATATTTTTTAATTATACAAGTTATATATAAAAGTCAGAACCCGAAAAAATATCGGCAAATTAGATAAATATCCTCCTTTTGGCACTACTTACTCCTGAGCAATGTTGCCAAGCTTCAAAAATGAAATTCCCTAAACGTCCAGTTCTGAGTTTTAAAGAAAAATATAGAAATATGCCAGTGAATTAATAAATTGTATTAAAATGTTTTGATTACTCACAATTGTACCTAACTCACAAAATTCCTTACAGACCATAAAGTTCTCCACAATGCACATTACCTTAAATTGGCAGTAGTTCAAATGACCCACGTACAAATGTTTACACTAAGACATACGTTTATTTATATCTATATTATGCAACTCAGATTACAGTTAGCTATATTTAAGCAAAATAATACTAGAAAGGGTTATCAGTTATTATAATAAATAAATATTTATTATTAAAGTAATATTGATCATTTATTATAATGCTTTTAAAGGATATATTAAGAAAAACATGGGAAAATCCGTCGGGACATTTGAACTACTCTATTAAATATGGCGCATGTAGTAAAAGAATAGCAGGATATATTTGAAAATAATCAAGAAAATGTCTGAATCTTCGGAATTATCTCGAGCAGCTTTAGAAAGAATCGAAAAAAATCGTCTGAAGGCGTTAACAATAAAAAAGACTAAACTTGTCACTCACCCATATGCAAAAACGTAAGTATTTGAATTTGAAGGTTTTATTGTGGTACAAATCTTACATTTTATAGAGATGTAGTGAATAAAATTGACAAAACTACAATTAAGATTGGGTCTACTAAATATAAGGATACTGGAGGTGGTTTTTTACTGCAAGAGGAACCCGATGATGTTTTAACTCCGGTAACATTTATTTATATGCAATGTTGTGCAATTTGTATAATGTTTATTGTTTAGGAACTGGTAGCCGCATTTGAAGCGGCCCCAATTATCGAAGAAGACAGACCTAATTGTATTAAATGCGAGCAGCCATTTGCAACATCATGGCTCTTCGAAAGTTTTGATTACAAGTGTTGCGATCAATGCAAGTAAGTAACGTTGTGCAGCAGGGTATCCTGAAATTCTTGTACCATCTTTTCGAATTTGTAAAATTGCAGGAGTTATTTGACTTTTAAAGCCGCCATGAGAGGGCAGGACAATCGATTTGTAATACCGGTTGTCTACCTACACAAAATACGCAAAACTCTTGCAATTTTTCCAATTCGAAAAAATGTTAAGGACAAATATTTTAGGGACCCAGAAGAACACAAGTTAATAACAAAAACGGAAGCGGTCAAGACGTATTTGCTCAAGGATTGCGATTTCGATAAAAGAGGTCCACCGCTAAAGTTCATCACTAGAAAAAATCCTCACAACGTTAGATGGGGCGAGATGAAGTTATTTTTGCAAATACAAGTGGAAAAGAGAGCGCTCGAGGTGTGGGGGAGCGAGGAGAGCATCGAGGAGGAGCGCGAGAAAAGGGAGGAAAAGCAGGTGATGTCCAAAACCAAGAAATACCATAAGCAGTTGAAGGAGTTGAGGATGAACATGAGGAGCAGTTTGTACGATAGGACCACAAAGGCCAAACATGTTCACGAGTTTGGGCCCGAAACCTACAACGAGGAGGATGATGAATACACCCACACTTGCTTAACTTGCCCTTACTCGGAGACCTACGAAAAAATGTGAATTTGTTAGTTTGTATAAGTTGTCTCTACATTAGACTGGGCCAAAAAAATCAACAATTTTGTTAAACTCAATGATTTGGGAGTTCTGAGACAAAAACTCGCTCAGGAAAAAAAAATCTAAAATTGCGATGATAGACCTCTTAATATTAAAATTATGAAATCAAACTTTCACCATATTTTTTTTTTGTCACCCCAAACAATATTTTCGATATACTTTCCAAAAAAAAAAATAGTCGATTCTTTTGGCCCAGTCTACTCTACATATTGATGGTTTAGGGCATAATTTAATTATGCTCTACATCATCAATAAACCCAAGTACTCATGTTAGTTTTAATTTTAATTGTTCTACCTCTTTTAGATTATAGGTTTTTTGATAAATAAAATGTCGTTTTTTACTTAATTATCATTTATTTTATGTTTTCTTTCTCTATAAAACGGAAAATGTACAGTTAAATTTCAACATTTGGAAGAAGCTAATTGGCCATCACAGTTTGCGTATATTCAAAATTATAGAGAAAATTTAACAATCAGCATGATACTTTTTGAATGGTTTAAAAGGGTTGATCATCACAGATCAAATAATAACATTTATATATGTACAAATAAAAAACAATAACAATAAAAATTAGCTGAACCTGAGTGTATGTACATTCACTAGATAATATGTTTTACACACCTGGCACAACGCAAGAAAAAATATTAAGCATAATTATAATTTTTCAAATTTAATATTGACACAGGTTGTCCCAAAATTGGCGCCCCAAAGATTCCAAGACGAATTTTCCTTTACCATTCTTCTAGAGATGTAAAAAAACGGTTTTTTTTTGTTTTTTTTCAAAATGAAATTTTGAGTAAAATGTATATTAATAATAAAGTGAAATGTAGAATATATTACATTTTTCATTATTGAAAATTTTGACCAAGACTAAAAATCTGATTTCTTATTATTTGGTAGTTTTCACATTAGAAACCAATAGCAATGTAAAACTTCTACACTAATACAAAAAATTAAAGGATAAAAAAATTTGTTTGCGATTTTTCGGATAGCTGTATCTTTGTTAAAAATGGTCGTATTGGAGCCGTAAAAAAAGCAATTTAAAGTTTATAGTTTTGAGATTTTTATATGAAAAACGTGCAACGCTCAATCCTAACGAATACCGTAATAAAACTGAATAAATGTTCTACAAGAATTTGCTATTGTTTTTTTGAAAAAAATAAATTCCATACTCTGGTTGAATTTAAAAAATCAAGAAAACTGTAGTTACTTTTTTTAGGACCAAATCACTGTATTTATATTTACTAATTTTAGTCCATGGAAACATAAAAAATTAGGCAAATGGGACTAATATTGAAAAAAAAACTAAAATATGAAAAAAAAAGATTTGGAAAAAAATAAAAAAAGCGGACCGTTTTTTTTCAAGTCGAATCTCTAAATTGCAGTGCCTTAAAAGTTAAATAACTCGTGCAACTTTGGGCCGTAAATGTCGGTACACCCTGTTTTCGTTAAATAAAACCTACAAACTAAGAATAAATCACTGGTTGTTAATTTGCTTGCGAGGGAGGCAGCAGGGCGCCGATATTCGCAGGTATAGTGGTGGTGGATCTGTTGTGCCTCAAGTGACTTTTGACGAGGTGACCGGCCGTGAGGGCCGCCATCAGCGACAGCTCGCCGGCCAAAACGGTGCCGCAAACGATGCGCGCCAGCTGATTGGCGTTCTCGCCGGGCGTGTCGGGATGCGCGCCCTTCACGCCGAGCATCTCCAAGCAGGCGGCCTGCGCCGGCAGCACCGTGCCGCCGCCCACCGTGCCGATCTCGATCGACGGCATCGTGCAAGTGATGTAGAGATCGTCGCCGGTCTCGCCCCACGGCTCCATCAACGTCATGCAGTTGCTGCTGCCGACGTTCTGCGCCGGGTCTTGCCCGGTGGCTATGTAAATCGCGGTCACCAGGTTGGCGGCGTGCGCGTTGAAGCCGCCGATGCTGCCGGCTATCGCCGAGCCGATCATGTTTTTCGAATTGTTCACGTCGACTAAAGCGTGCACCGACGTTTTCAACACCGACGTCACCGTTTTGGCCGGGATCACCGCCTCGCACACCACCGATTTACCCCTTCCTTCAATCCTGAAAATTGCAAACCTCTTTCAAGATTGACCGCCACACCAGCGGTTGCCACACCTTTTTTTTTATCCATGTTTAACTAAAATCTATTCAAATCCAAGCTGGACTAAGTCACACCATCAGAATCGACCAATAAGAACGAGTTATCATGCGTCTGGGCGTTTTTGTTTAGTCCAGCTTGGATTTGAATACACTTTAGTTTCTATTTAAGATTATGGCAACCCTAACTACACCACTGTTGTAAAATTGTTGTAAGCATTGGAAACATCTCCACTAACTATGAAAATAATATTAACAAAGTTAATATGGAACCCACATTTTAGCGACATCTAAAACTATACTAATAGACTGGAAAAATAAGTCACAGGAGAGTGCTGATCTCTAATTTTATTAACTTTGACTTGAATATTTAATGTAATGTAACGTAACTTTTAACTTTCTTAAATTATCTTACATGAAAATGAATCTGCGTTTGCGCGTCGTAATACCAACCTTATTTGAAACAACAAATTTGCCATCAAATGTTGAAAGGTTAGTGCTTATAAGTAAAGATAATTACCAAGATTAATTATAATATTTTGTGCTTAAAATCTTTGTATTTTATACACGAATTTAATTTAGGCACGTATAGAGCGCCATCTATGAAACAATAGGGGAATCAGTGTGTCACCGTCAAATGTCACATTTTTACATTTTATTTACACAGAATATAAACGTTATAAATCGAAATGTATTTCTTGAAAATTGACAGTTTTTCCCCGTGAAAGAAAAGAAAATGTTTTATGAGGAATTTAAGTTATAGTTTACTGCCGGCGAAATTAAAAGGTCAGTACAATGTTCATATAAACTTTTCAAATATTGGCGTTGAGAAACTATTTAATACTTTTGTATTTTTGTATTGAGATAATAAAATAATTTTCACATTTAGTATTATTTTACAAGAAAGGCACTTTATTTTAACGATTGTATGACATTTGACAACTGCCAACTAACTTAAAACTAACTTCAGCCCGTGATAAAGGGCGTTTTAAAGGTGGGAGTAGAAAAAGATAATTATTATTTAGTCAACACCATGTACTAAATGTTGTATAAATAGGCACAATTTTTCTTAAATTACATTAAATTAAGTTACATTACATTATATTAAATGCTGGCTAAATCCACCTTAAGTGTTGGGTGTCGCAAACTGTCTAAAATTATTTTTCGTCAAATTAATTAATTCGTTATTTTTCAAACGTAATCGTTTTTATTGACATGTTCAAACTAAGTACAAAATATTTGTTGTAAAATAAAATGACAAATGACGAAAACTGGCGAAAAATTATTTATATAAAAAAAATTCAGAAAAATCAAAATTAAAAAATAACCATAAAGAATAAAAATTCTGGGGGTTTGAAATCAAGCAATAACTTTGATCAAGAATCATCAAAAAATGTCGTTTTTAAAACTTAAAAAGAAAAGAATTTTTATAAAATCACACTGATTTGCAACATCATGGCTCTTCAAAAGCTGCGATCAACGCAAGTAAGTGACGTTGTGCTGTTGTCCTACAATTAGTGGAAAAAATCTTGAAATTGTTCGACTAATTTTCCTCTACCATTTTTTTGAATTCGCAAAATTAAAGGGATTATTTAACTGCCAACGAAAACCAGGACTATCGATTTGTAATCTGGGTTGCCTACCTACATTCGAAAAAAACACGAAATATTGAAAATTTGTTTTGAAGTTTACCCTTTTAGGGTTATTACAAATATTTTAGAGACCCAGAAGAACACGGAAGCAATTATATTGATAAAAGAGTTCATCACTAGAAAAAATCCTCACAACGTTAGATGGGGCGATATGAAGTTCAGAAACAAATGGACAATAAAAATAGTGCGTTGCATATCCTGGGGGTTTGAAATGAAGCGAAAATTTTTATCAGTGGATATCTTCATATCGCAAAAAACTAAATGGAATTCCATATAACCTTTTTATTTTCATTTTTATGGAAATATTTCCATTTACAACACCAATACAAACCTTAAAAATGACGAATCAATATTTTTGCCAATTAACCCCTTGTATTAATAATTGTGCAAAAAGAGAGATGTAGAAATTTTTTTTAAGGTTTATATACCGACTACTCCTTCAAACAAAAAAGTTCCCGGTACTCACCAGTTAACGGCTGCGGCTTTCTTGTCGGTGCAGAAGTTGCCGCTCAAGCTCAAAATCTCCATGTCCGGGAAATAATCCTTCTTGATGAACTTCAACGACATTTCCGTGCCTTTCGAGAGCATGTTCATGCCCATCGCGTCGCCGGTGGTCGCCTCGAATCTGATGTACAAATGTCTGCCGGCTATTTTGACCAGCACCCTAGTGAGACGCGCGAATCTGCTAGTACCGTCGAACTTTTGCTTCATCAGGGCGAAATTGTCGGGCGCCTCCATCCACTTTTTCGCCGCACTGAAACAAATCGATTTTCGTCGTTCAAGTTTTTGGATTCGGAAAAAAAAAAGCGAGGAAACCGGGGAATCCCTGGACATTTTGGAGGGGGAATACCATAGGAATACAATGGAAATGCATAGGAATACAATAAAATATAATGGGAATACATGGGAATCCCTGGACGTTTTCCCTTTGGGTGGTTGACCCCTCGGAGGAAACTTTACCTCGCTCTCGCCAGGCATGGAAATCGCACCGCAGGGCCTCTGGTCATGCCGTCGCCGACTATTCGGCTGGTTATGCCGCCGGCCAGCAGAGCGCTGCATCCTCGGTTGGTGCTGGCCACCAAACAGCCCTCGGTGGTGGCCATCGGCACGAACAGCTTCTTGTCGTCGAGATTCAACGGGCCTGCGAATCCAACCGGAACGGGCATGTAGCCTATCACGTTTTCGCAGCAAGCCCCCATCACCTGCAAACATTTTACTCAATAACAAAATCATCTTAGTATACCCAAGCAACAATTTAAGTATTTGTTACGTATATGGGACTATTGAAGAAACTTTAAAATGTTTTGCGACAGTCGCCGGTCTCTTTATACAGACTGTATAGAATCAAGTAAGTAAGGCTGGAGACAAGGATGACAAATTATATTCTGATCAGAGAAAAAGAAACAAACATTAATTGGACGTGGTTTAAACCAAGCCATTCGTAATTACGAATTTTATTTGTTTGAAACTTAAAAAATAACAAAAAAATTAATAATATGTCAAAAATAATTTGATTTAATTAATTTTCTTACTTTTAATATTAAAAAATAAGAAAAACAACCCTTTTAGGAAACAATAATAGGATATGGCAACAGCGCGGCATGCAGCCAGATACAAGGGCATGCCGTTTGATCTACTGTGTTTGTTCACTAGTTCCGACGATTAACTGGAATTTAATGAATTTTAAACAATGCTTAGTTTTTATTTGCAGAAATGCATTAAAACAAAACAAACGAATTCGATAAAAATAAAACCTATAAATTCTCAATCCCTACCACAGTGGGCGGGGTTTGGCACTTGTTTTATTTAAGTGTATCTATTCGTTTAAATACACACTGTATTAATCTTTCATTACTAAGTTACGACTAAAGTGGGGAACAATTATTGAGTTCCAAAAAGGTAGCAACTATTTGGAACGTAGCTGCTACGTTACTAGAACGTTCCAATATCGTTGCTAGAGCGTTATAATTACTTATTTGTTTTTACTTCTATATTAACTGTCTTTGTCAAACTTATATTAGATTATACTATCCCTCCTTTTTTAAATGGAACCACTATGGACTTGGCTTTTCAATGTCGTCGTTTATTAATTAATATTTAAATATGTAGGTACTGGTAGTTTATAACTTCCAGAATAACAATAAAATGTTTAATTAGGCAGGTAAATTTATAAACCCTTTAAATTTTACTGTTAAACTTATGAATTTGGTTTTTGTAAAATAAATGCACTTCATCAATATTTAATTATAAACAAATTATTGATTTAATTATTAATACCGTCTATTACCAACAAAATTACTATTTGTTAAACCATTTACAAACAATTAAAATAATGTATTATTTACATTACCACGTGGTACTGTACAGCAAAAAATGGCCGTTAAGAAGCATTTTCCTTTGAAGTAGTTTCGCTACTTTTTCCACCTTAATTTACGGTAGTTTTGGTTAGTACCATAAACGTTCCAAATACTAAAATAATAACTTTTAAGTTATTAACTTTGTAATTTTTAACTCATGTTCCAGTTTCGAGAGTTTAACTTGCAAAGGGACTACAAAGTAAAAATAATTATAATGCAATATTTAGGTAGAAACCGAAAGTAACTGTTAGAAATTAAATTTACTTGAAAGTTTTTTTACTTATAACACCTTTTTTAAAGTTGCAAAGTGCAACTGCAAAGTTGGGGGCAACCAAGTTTTACTTAAATGTTTATTACTTTATAGTATAGTAACCATTTAAGGAAAGAATAAAGTTTCTGTTACAAAATATTGCTATTTAAAAGTTGAGTAAGAATGGAAGGATCTGTTTGATATACTTAACTAATTTAAAGTTATCATCACTTTGGTAATGGTTTTTGGAACCAAAAATGCTGCTTGGGTAATTACTGTTTTAGGTGATTTTGTTATTACAAAAAACCTTTTAAATTCCTAAATAAAATTTGTAATTTATCAGTGGGAGCCCTATACACGTAACCTTAAAATTTTCTTATGGGATTAAACATGGGGAAATTACCAAAATTGGGGTAGAACCCCCATAGTATAATTATTAAATTTGAGGAGAAAATGAAGAATGCAAATGAATTTCTGTAATTAGTTACATTGACTAGTTTTTTAACCAAATTGCTCGAATTTTTTTAAATAAAATTAAAAGTAGAAGTTTCACCACACTATTAATTTTAATTATCTATTTTGCGTTCATAAAGACTTCATTAACACCGCTTCCGGTGCTTTAATGAGATACTTTATCCCACCCAAAATTTTGATTTTATAGGTTGGCTATACTTTAAACAGCATAATATTGGTTATAATATTTTTATGATTTTTCTAGTACTTACGAGACTTTTATACAAAAGTTTATATACAAAAGTGCTCTTTTAGTTCCACCCTTACTTCTTAAGAAGTCCCATAAGCCAACTGAATGGCTTGTGCGGGTTAGGGGTAGGAACGGACCGCGGGCTTAAAGTCCCCTTCGAAGGACTAATACACAATAGGACAAACAATAAATTTTGTTTAACACCAAAGAAAATCCTTTTCTTCTTATTTAACATTAACAACCGCTTATTGTAAATAAGTAAATTAAGGACGGCAAGGATTTTCCTTTGGGATTTAACATGGGAAATGACCAATGGTTTTGTTTTAGTGTTGGGTAATATTTCTAATGTTGGTTCATCATAATCTTACCTTTTTGTAGTCGTAGTTTTTGTAGGGCAAATCGGACATGGCGCGCAGGAAATTGCCGTCGCTGGCCAGAATTTTCCGCCTTATACCGACCCCCCTTTCGGGATCCTCGATGGCCTTTTCGATCTGATAATTAGCGATGTGCTTGCTCCTCACGAGCATGATAATCTCTTCGTCGGTCAATTCGGAGGCGCCGCTATCGGAATCGTAGATACTCTTGCATTCGTCCAAACTTCGGCAGGCCCTTAGCGCCGTATCGTCTTCCGGAGACGAACTTTCCACATCCGACTCGCAACGCGAATGCGTTTGCACCTCTTTGTCCTCGAAAGCGATATCCTCGGTGGAGTTGTTCAGCTGACTTTTACTCAGGAAGAAAGTGCTGGTGGGCTTCAATAACTGCATGCTTGAATGGAATTTCCGTTGCTTTTTCATTTGAACCTCAGAGTTGTTCTCCGATATCGAAGCCCTCAGCTGTTCCACCAGTTCTTCCTTGTTCTCGAAGAAGATGAACTTCACCACCAAGGCCAGCAGCAAGATCAGTATGACGATGTGGTCAGCGCTCAAAGTGACCCACCTGTGAGTTAAACGAATATAAGAAAAAAAACGATAGATGGCACCATTGTGCAGGCAAATTCTCTTCTCACCGCGTTTGAACTATTCCTTTCCAATATAACGAAAGGAATTAAAGTTTTCGTTTGGGTATCGAGCCTATAGCAACTCGGCACTGATGAGTTCCACAGAACGAAACGCGTCTGTCGATGCTGGCATGAGATCCGAACGAAATTAAACAAAAGCGGTGATAAGAGAAATGCTTGCAGAATATTAATTAATGAATATAAGAAATATTTCCCAAATACATTTGGAAACTTACTTCATGATGTATCCGTGAAGTGCGGCGTCGTCGGTGCGGTTTTGCGGCATGTGCTGGTCGACCAGAGGCGCGATGTTGTCGACGTCGACTTCCTTGAACGGCCAACGGCTGGAAGAGGAAGCGTTCGAGTTAAGGCAAAACATCGCGAGACTGACAAATTTAGGAGAACTACTCGGCCTATTATAATCGCGGGTATCTATAGTTGAATCTTTTTGAATACAAAAGAACAAAAATAATTTTTAAGTAGAGGTTAAAGAGGAGATGAAAATAACGTCTATTGAAAAAATCCATTGTAATTCAAATTTGTAGTTTTTCGGCTTACCTGTGCGCATGGACGAGCATCAGACCGGCTGACATAATTAGTTTGACTCTTTGCACCACCGGGTTCGATTTGTCCTCTTCTTTGAACACGCTTATGAATGAACAGCTCTTCTTGTCATATAAATTCGTTGTGCGTGACAACTGAAAATGGCAACAATAGTTTTTGAATTTCAGCGAATATTCAAACACAAAGTGAGGAGCCGATACACGATAAGCAAAAGCACTTGAACTTATTTATAGCGAATTTTGTTATTCCTTCTATTTTAAGAGGAAAAAATAAATAAAAGGCGGCTGAATATGTACGTACGGTTCGAGGGATCAACACAATCGCTTACCTCCAAAATCAATGACAAACAGGCGGGATAAAACGTCATGAATACGATGTAATTCACCAGCACTGACAAGCAGGCAAAGCAGGATAGCATCTCCAAACGATGAACACCTGAAATACAAAAAATATTGATACTGTCATTGGTCTAATATAATTTTAAAAAACCATTACTGCCTTTGCAAAATTTTGACAAAATGCAATCCATTATAGAATATGTAACTGTTCTTTTAATATCTTTTCAATAGATGAAGCAGCTGCTATTATTCAAAAACTAACCTGGAATCGAAATTGAAAAGAAATTAGAAAAACCGTTTGCAAAATTTTGACCAAATGCAATAGAATACATATAGAAGATGTAACTGTTCTTCTAATATCTTTTCAATAGATGAAGCAGCTGCTATTGTCCAAAAACTAACCTGGAATTGGAATTGCCTTTGCAAAATTTTGACCAAATGCAATACAATAAATGTGTAACTTTTTTTAAATCTATAACTAACCTGACAAGGTTCCAACCCCAATAACCAAAGTCTCGACTATGGTGTCCAAAGTGATGGTGGGGCCTAGCAAGGCCATGCCTCTGGCGATGTTGATGCGCACTTCCTCCTGATTGGATGCATTGAGCGCGAACTGCGCCAAAACGGCCGCCTTGGATAGGTCGATTAGTAGCAGAAAGAAAAACATGGCGTCTCTAAAAACAAAAGAAATGTATAACCCTGGGCTGCCGGAAGTTCCGGCCCGGAACTTACTTTAGCTCCGTCACGTCGATGCGCAAGATATTCAGCACTGTCGTTGTGAACACGAAGCTCGAGAATACCGTGAAAAGACCGGCGATACCTAAAAGATTAAGACAATTTTTATCCTTTTTCTATGTCCTAAAGGACAATTGACATTGACGATATTTCTTTGTATCTAGGATGCATAATTTTTCCTGGTAAAATTACATACGCAGAAATCCAATTAAATAAACTAAACACACTCTTTAGAATCTTTAAACAGACTTCAAAATAAAACAAATAAATCGAGTTAAAAATAAACTACCGCGAATCGTTTATTATTATTTCGGGCAATTTCAGTGATGTGTGTAATTGATCGAAAAATCTTAGTGCATATAAAATTATTGAATGATACTTTCTCCGGTACGGTGTAATCGCGAGTCCATGACCTTGAATCAATTTCACTTAACTTTCGCTCTTAGTTACTTACCTAGAATATATTTTGATCCTAATTTATGTAGATTACGAAACTGATAGTAGCTGTATAGTACTGCTAAACATCGTATTAATGTCATGACAATAACATCGGCGGCATTGTATTCAGCCTAAAAATAAAATTATTTTTTAAAAGTTTTTAACTAATTTAATACAATGTTGCAAACTATGTTTTAAATTAATCATAGGATCATAACAAAGCAAAAAGTAATTAATTTGCATAACATTTTTATTGGTTTCTATCGATTAGTTGATTAAACTGATTGACGTTTCCACAGGATAAAAAGGTATTGATAAATAATAATAGCATCTCTATAATTAATTAATTAGGATCAAGGATTTATTACGAAAATTTTCGTACAACAAGTGTAATGTTTTGTTTGAAGGCCTTTATTTTCTAATACCTTATTAATTTATCATGCGATATTTAACAGCCAAGATTCCCACTTTTTTGCATTAATTGTAGGTATAATAGAAACAAATTAAATACAATTCTGTGAAAGTCCATATAATTTATTAATTTCAGTACTTATGATTTTTTATTATTTTTAAACTTTAAACTTTCTTTGTCAAAAATTTCTCCTTTTTAAATATAAATTTAAAATATTGTGAAATCTTAATTACCAATTAAACCATCCCAACAGTTTCTACGTTGAACAAACAAATAATTATTTGATTTAAAAAATTAATGCAATGTAGGTCACATAAAAAATTGTATAAGGATTGCAGTCGATTAATATTAAGAAAAAATAAGGTTAAATTCGTTCGACAGTTGACAGATTTCAAATGTTTAATAAATAAATTCATCGCAGATAAAAATGTACAGATGACCCTTATTTTTTCTTAGAAATATTCGGCTAGTTATCAATAAATATAAATAAATTAAAGACGCAGCGAAAAAGTTGTGATTATCTTATCTGGAGTATTTTCTCACTACAATGAAATTGTACACGGTAAAAAAGATACTTTACTATCTATTAATATGTGGCACGAGCTATATTTCGGAAAAAAGCTGACTAACAAGAATTTGAGCTCACCATAAATATTGTACGTTTGAACGTTCTAAAAATAGTTACTTTTAAGGTGCTATAATTCATTATTCAATGGTTGGTACTTAGACGATTACGACATTTGGTTGGATGGTTTCTTTTATGATTTATTGAACACGATATCTTCCGTTATTTTTTCGTATTCAAAATGTTGCAACGTTCGTATTAAAGAGTAAAGTGTACCCAAAATTTATTTAATCGCATCGAAGAATTTTGTAATTTGTAAACAGAGAGACTGCTTTCGAAAAATTTATTGAGAATGTTGAGGAGAAACCAGAAAATATATGATTCAGTAGTATTGGCAGTGAAAGTTGAAAGATAATAATTAAGCGGGGAATTTGAGATCGAATTCCGAAGCGATGATGATGATATAACTGTCGCTCACCTCGTTTATGCATCCTGCGCAGTAGCGCGACGAAACTGGTTTCGGCTGCTGCGTCGCGTGCTGCTGGTCCATCGTGAACATGCAAGCCGTCAAGGTCAACGTCGCGACGATCACCTCCCATGGATGCGTCGCACAAAACTCGCCGTGGGCGCGAAACACGCGTGACGTCATCGCTCGATGCTGCTCTCGGCCTTTTCCTGCAAAAAGAAAAAAATCACGTCTCACGCATGCGACCTTGAGGCGGCATCGACGGCCTTGAAGTCACGGTTTTCAAGGTCAACGATCGCTATTTTTAATTTTAAGCGGATGACACCAATTTTCATGTCTTTTTTCCGTCTGGTTTTGTGCATATTTAAAATTAGCACAGACGAAAAGCTTATATATACAAAAGTATAAAACAAATTCGGCCGTTTTTTAAATTGCATTTTCAGATTTGAATAGATTATGAATTTAGTTTTGAGTATTATTAAATTTAAAAGTTCGCGATTTAAAAAAATTTATTTCCAATTTTTTTTTATTTTCATGAAAATTATTTTGAAAACCCACCTTTAAAACGCCCTTTATCGTACATGTTTCCATGACACTAAGTGACCTTTTAAATACACATTGACAAGTTGTGGCTTTACGGCGCTTTAGTCACGGGCTGAAGTTAGCAACAGGTTTTTAGTCACGGGCTGAAGTTAGTTTTAAGTTGGTTGACAGTTGTCAAATGTCATACAATCGTAAAATAAAGTGCCTTTCTTGTAAAATAATACTAAATGTGAAAATTATTTTATTATCTCAATACAAAAATACAAAAGTATTAAATAGTTTCTCAACGCCAATATTTGAAAAGTTTATATAAACATTGTACTGAGCATTTTCTTTACTTTCACTGTGAAAAACTGTCAATTTTCAAGAAATACATTTTGATTTATAACCTTTATAATATAAAAATTTGACATTTGACGGTGTCACACAGATTCCCCTATTGTTTCATAGATGGCGCTCTATACAAATTTTTGATTTAAATCATTTTAAGATAATAATAAGTATTTGTCGTAGAAAAAGTATAGTATGCACCTCGTTTATAAACTTATCTATACACTCATTAATTTAAGCACTCGCTCGCAAGCTCGCTCGTGCCCAAATTAAATTCGTGTATAAAATGGCGTTTATCAAACTTGATACATAATATACTATTAATGGATATTAGAAATTATAAATTTTCCATTTTTAATAATTAATATAGACCTGTTCAAGGATTTTCAATGAATTTGTTGCATACTATTGTCGGTTACTGTATATTTACATTTTTAAGACAGTTATATTGAAAATATTTTCGAAAAAGAGATGCGATTCAAGTTTAAATTCCTCCTGAAATAAATTATATTTCGCATGCCCCTGATATTTATAGGTGCATTAGGTCGTTTTTTGTTTTATTTTCCATCGTCTGAGATTATAGAGGAGTGGCGGTATCATCACATCGTTTTCCATCACAATTGACATGCGTGGTTGTGTTAAGAATGTTAAGCAAGGTTTATTGTATTGAACTTGCTTTAAACCCTTATTATTATTTTTTTATTTGTGATTTTCAGACAATTTTAATTTTTTTAGTCTAGTGAAGTTAGTAAATTTTTGGATGGAGAAATGATAGTTGGGCAATGGATTTTCAAAATAAAAATCTAAAACCTTCACATTTATATTCACAGTTACTGTTGTTTACAACAAGTTGTTAACTTCTAACGACTATATATGTTTTTATGTTGAGAATTCTCAGATTCATTTTAATGAATTATCATCCTAAATGGGCACGTTAAAAAAAGTGTGGCGACCTTGCTTATACACAAGCACTGTATACAGTGGTATTGCCAAAGATTTGAGAAATCTATGTGACAGTGACCATGGTCATCATTGATATAGGTAAGGAGAACAAATTGGGCAACTGTCACTAAACGCTGTGTAAATGTTATGCCATTAATATTTGGTAAATAATAATTGACACTAAAATTGTTTCGGCAGTGTAAATTAAATGCGCCAATTAGCGTATTGATTTTGGCATGCCTAAAAATTTTATTAATCAATTAATTAACACCCGTATTCACAAAAATAATTCTTGCTAGCATTCAATTCCGTGAACGCATGCTTACGAATTTTTACTAGGAATTCGGTCATTAAAATTTCAATTTGAATAACCCGAAAAACGCATATGTTTAAATAAACACCGGGTCAATGGAAATTTATGGGAAAAAATTAATGCGTTTTTAAATAAGGTCACTAAAACAAATAAGGAAGAGAAAATATTTTAGTTTTTTTAACTTTCCGAGCAAATTGTTTTGATACACTTATAGGCAAAATTAAGGGAACAAGGCCTCGGATAAATATGCAATTAAAAAAAAAAGAGTTTGTGCAACATGGTGCGGTATACAAGGTGCGACAATTAAAATAGCAACATGCTTAAGCCGATTTATATTAAGAATATGTAATTGTTATTTCATCATATGCGCACACTATATAGTTAATAATATAATATTGGACCGTTTCTCTATTTGACCTTAGAGACAATGCGTAAAAATGCATATGCAATATCCTAATTCCGAACAAAATTAAGTATTTATCGAAATAACAACATTCACTGGCCTTAAAATTGGCACATTTCGTAATTTTTGGGCTGTGTAAAATATATATTAATATATCAAGACTTTACTATGTACAATAATTAAGGCTTGCGAAATATTAAAACAACCGCATTTTTTTTCAAGGTCGGCAAAATTAGGGTTTTTGACAAGATTGACCTTGAATCTGGTTTATAAGGGAATACAAAGTAAAAATCTATTATTTAAGAAAAATTAAGTTAAAAACTTTTGTTTTTCCTATGGAAAAAATACATTTTTAAAAACTTTTTATTATGGATATTTTTATGACGATAATTTGTTAAAAACATCTTAAAGCAATAAATTTTGGTAAAGAATTATTTTTAAATAATTGTTTTGATTTTATTACACCTCAAAGTAAAACAGTAAAATTGGCTAAACATTACGCACACGTTTAATAATCTATTTTTTTTAATTGAACAAAAAAATGTATATTTTTTTTAAATGCGTTTAAAGTAAACTTTAATCTACATAGGTATATAAAAATTTCTATTTGAAGAAAAAATTAGAAAATTTAAAGACACATTGGTAAAATTAAGAGAACAAAAAGTACAAAAAAAATTAGCCGCATATACGCACATATGGAAAAGTTTTAGTTGCATTTATTAATTATTATAAATATTTTAACATGTATTAATTTTTATTTTTGATAACGCTTTTGAATAATTTTTTTAATTTTAATGATTAATGTATGTTCTGCACAAACAAAAAACCAGGCAAAAATTCTTGTACATTTAAAGAAAAAAAAGTAAAAACAGAAACTTAATCTACAAACCTGTTTTTTCCAAATTTTGTTTATTGAGGCGTGTTATTTAACACCTAAAAGTGGGCAGTTGTATTTTTTTAAATAAGCCCTTAAAAAGAAAAAAGATAAAAAATAATCCCCTGGGTCACAAATTTACTAACATATTTAAAAAAAACTTATATAAAAATGTTTAATCATTTTGAAAATATATTTTTTGATTGTTAATAATCCTTTTAAGGTTTTATTTATTTACACTAGGATTTGTTTAAAAAAAGAACATACATTTATTATTAGTAAAAAAAAATTTTGTACAAAACTAAGTAAAAGCAAAAACTATGTTCTATTTCTCAACTTTCTTACATACGTATATTTATATAGTATATTTTCTGTGTCTCGCTGAGCAACCATAAAATTTTTCCAGCTTCTTTGAGGCAAAATACATTGACTAGGAAAATTACTATTAAAAAGGTGGGGGACATACAAGAAATTTGAAAATAACCCAAATGGATAAATATACATTTTTTCACAGATGTAGGAAATCTTATGTTAAACAAAGAGGACAAAGGCAAAATAAAATCGTTGCTAGGCAATAATGATCGGCAAGGATTGGTCAATTAACGCGAATATAGAATGCATAATTATTTTCAATATTAAAAGTGCAATTGAACATATCGCAATGTTAAGCTTGGCGAATACGTTTTTAGTATTAAAGAATTAATCAGGCGTTGCACATGAGGCTTGAATATCAAGTTTATCTTGCAAATATTACAAAATAACTTGTATTTTACTTTACTACCAAACAGGTGCAACATCAGACCTGTTGCCCTCAAATTTTTACAACCACCATCTATCTTTAAAATATAAAATCTATTGTCCATCATCTCACATAATTAAAATAACAAAAAATAGATTTTTAATATACCGAAGAGCTTCAAGCATCATGTGCGTTTTTAATTTATTATTATTAATTATCAAAGAAATTTTTGTACAAATCGCGTACGGTTTATCATTGGCACGATAAGCCAAATATTTTTATGGTGAAAAACTTAATTTAAAATCAAATCACTCACGTGTGCTGTTTAGGTATTCAAACTCGACTTACCTGAAACAAAGCAAAAAATAAGATATTAGTATCGGGCCGAATTCTTTGTAATGAAATTGATTTAAAAAAAATGCTTCTGGTTCTAAAGTTTTGAATCTATAGGGGCAGTGTCCGCAGAAGAGAAAGTAATCAACCTTGACTGATATTCCTATTGCATTACAGAGGATTAGTTTGACACCATCTACATCTAAGAATTTTTTTTCTTCGTCTTCTTATTATTATCATTATTATATTATACATTTTTTAACCACGCGGTATAACAATTATAATTTAATTTAATTATGTATCAAATTGGATGCCGTTATATCACGAAAATTATATAATTAATAACGCAAACTTTACGTTCGATTATTATTCAACTTTTTGCATAAATATTGAAAAATATTTCAAAACAGTTTAAGAAACTAATAAAATTAACATTTTGCTTTTTAAAAGAAACGTTACATCCAAGTTTAATTAATATAACACATTGTCACGGCAACTCCCTGGCAAGACCCTGGTGGTACTATATCAAAATAATAAAATATTATTTTTATCAAAAAATTTATAAATATATATATAATATTATACATTCACAATTTTTCGATAATTTATTTAAAATAATTTTATATTATGGATTTACATAGTAACAAAAAATCATAAATAAAATATAATTTTTTGAATTTTTAATAGTACTTTAATTTTTGATAAAAATAATTTTAATTTTAATATACAAATTATTTTTATCAAACATATTTATGCATAATTAAAAAAAGTAAAAATAGATGTGTTTCCCCATTGAATTATTGTTATTATTATTATTATTAATATAAATACTAAAAGCTAAAACTTTAGGATTTCTTTTTATTTATTATTTTATTTTTTAGAACTATGGTCAAAAAAATTTAATGTACAGGTACTGAAAAATACTTTTTTGCTGCATATAAAAAAATTGGAAAATTGATCAGCATACAGGGAAAAATGAAAAGTTTATTTTTTCTCAATGGATCACCCTAGATAGGAATTTATTTTTCGATTCCTTGTAAAATTCTAAGCATAATTCATAATATAACATACAAGGTGTGTTCAGAAAATAACGGGAATTGTTAAATTTCGCTTTATTATGTTGGTATACATGCCCCCGAAGTATGATAAAAATTTTAGCTGTTTTCATTGTTTACTTTGTCTGTGGCAGCCGCTAAGGTTAGACGTGTTTTATGAGGTCGGCGATTTTTCGTTCGTTAAAAGAAATGGATCAAAGAATTTGTATCCAATTTTGCTTAAAAAATTAAATAAATTCTGTGAAATGTTAACAAAGGCCTATAGTGAGTTTGCTATAAGTAAAACAAGAGTTTCCAAGTGGTATAAGATTTTCAAGATGGCCGTAAAGACATTGAAGATGACGAACGCCCCGAACGCACAAGCACATTAACAACCGATAAAAACATGGAAAAAGTGGTATAAATGGTTATGAACCATCAGAGAAGTCGCTGATGATGTTGGTATTTCGATTGGCTCATCCCATGAAATTTTTTCGAATGTTTTGGGTATGAAACGCGTGGCAGCAAAATTTGTTCTTAAATTGTTAAATTTTGAACAAAATTTTTGGCCAAAAACATTACTGTAATGATGCCCCAGCCTCCATATTCGCCAGACATGCCTCTGTCTGACTTTTTCCTATTCCCAAAAATAAAGAGAACCTTAAAGGGCCGTCGTTTTGCAAGCATAGATGACATTAAAAGCGCATCGCTGAAAGAACTAAAGGCTATCCCAAAGATCGAGTTTTAGAAGTGTTTCGAGTATTGGAAGAAGAGCTGGCACATGCGCATAATATCCATTGGGGACTATTTTGAAGGCAACAACATTAATGTAGACGAATAAACAAATATTTAAATTATTTTTAAGATAATAAGTTAAAATAGTTTATCTTTCTCTGCCTAAGTACGGAATTTTTACTTTCTTAACAAGACATATTGACATAATGTCACTATAGTTGTTTATTTTCAATAAAAATTTTGTTATCCTGAGGCTTCTTGATTTGAAAAAAAACAAAACTGATCAATTTTCCAATTTTTTACACGTAGAAGAAAAGTATTTTTTCAGTACCTACATAACCTTACTTTGAAATTTTTTGGGTACCTACATAACCATACTTTTAAATTTTGTAAAATAAAAAATGTAAAGGGGGGCGACATAATAGGGCATCACCCTGTACATAAAATGTCTTAAAATACGCATTAAGGTTTGTACTATAATTTTATGAAATTCATGAACGTATAATGTAAATTTAATGAATTAAATCGGTGAATTGCAAACGTTCTAATAAATATTGATGACAAAATTATGATGTAAGAAATCACTCGGCGGAATAAAAATGTTCAAAGCAATTAAATGTCATCTCAATTTGACGAATTTTCCTTGCGGAAAATCGATTTCAAATCGGGTGTGAAAATCGAGTTGTTTTTATCAGTATCATCATTTATGATCTGAAACATTTTGTTTTCTAATTATAGAACATCTTGCAATAAATTGTCTGGAATAATGTGGGGTAGCTTTGGGTCGGCAACATTCGGAATATTTTATTGAGGCACTTAAGTAATATTCCGTTATGTGCATGACAATAATAATATTTTTAACCAGTTTTCAATATAATATAACTGAGCACAATTCCGCGCGCGGAGTAAAAATAAACAATGCCAGTTGAAAATGAATATAAAAATTTTAATGTTGAAAATAATTATCATCAGAATCAGACATTTATGTTATTAGACGAAAAAAAAACAGAACAATTTTAATAGAGAAAGTAACTAAATTTAGGAGTAAATTCTAAAACATGGCTAAAATTGAAGTTCAAGTGTACGTTTTTTAGTTTTACAGTTCAATAACATCTCTAGAGATACTTTCACTTCAAATGCTTTTATTATTTACCAAAACATTTTCTTACGGTGTTATTTTTTTTATGTTTGTGTAAGGCCATTCAAAGTGATTGCGTGCGTCATAAATAGCATTCTTTTGGTGGTGAAGAACAATTTTATCAAAAGGCAAATAGATTAAAAAAAGACAGTTTCACTTTTGTACGGTCTAATTTCATTCATGTGAAATTTAATAATTGAAGTAATTTTTTACATAAAACTATTGTTTCACAAATTTTGAAACAATTTTGATTCAAATTAATTACGACAAAATTAAAATTTAATATAAAGCAAGTTATGATGCGGTTAAACAATAATTTTTATTAGTGAAATTATATTTTGCAATCGTTACAGCAAAAGATATTAACACCGACAAAGTTAATCTAATAGTTTCATCATCAAGCGTTTAGAAAATCTAACAAAAAGAACCGGTAGATTATTCAATCTATCGATGATACGCATCAAATTCATTTTCTTCGGGCGAAAATGCATCACATATCATTTTATTTTTAAATCTTTTTAGGCAAGGTCAAGGTTTCCGAGGTTGAATCGAGTAAATGACAATTTGCTATCATCATGTATTTTATAAAATATATTTAACTACACTATAATGACACATCCAAATTTGGGACAATTAGTTAATAAGAGTTAATTAATTATAGTAACTTTTAGGGATTTCCTTAGCAAACAAACTTCCTCGAAATAGCTGGTTAAAAATAATTAAATTTTCCATCAACGGCCTGGGCTATAAATTTTCGTTGACAGAATATTTGGTTAAATAGAAACTCGCTTTAAATTCATAACATTTTTTCCAAACTTAAAATTCATTGCGTAGGCATTTCTTTTTTCGGCAGGCACAAGTTAAGTATGCATTAAATGGGACAGCAAAAAAAGAAAGCCGCTTTAAAAAAAAACGATGAATGAAAAACGGCCTACCTTTTATTAATGAAAAAAAATCAAACCTCACTTGCACACCACAAAATTTCTTTGGCACGAGAAAACGTGAGCGCGACTTTTTAAAAGCGCCTACTCGACACACAGCACCACTGTGTTTTTAGAACTAACACTCTTATCGTTAGCGAAGCAAAGCTCTAGCGCAGTAGGAGCGGTGTACACACAACATTTCGGGCTCTTTCGTTTCACCGAATAACTAACTAATAACGCAGCTTAGAAGTTTTCGAAAAATTTTCACAAACATTGTATCAACATTTAATAGTTCATAACATATGCATGTTTTAATAATTTTGGGCCAATTAAAAAAAATAATAATAAAATTACTACACAGAAAAAAAACTAACATAGTACCAAGAACAGCGCTGTCATTGAATGCATTAAAATTGAAGCAATCTAAATTGTTATTTGCTCAATTAATTACTATTACCTAAATCAAAATAGGGAAATATTTTGCCTAAATGTCAAATATTTTATTGCGTTAAATGTATACATAGTATACATACAATAGTAACGTTATTAAATAAATCAAATTAGTATTTAATGCAATAACATTCTACCATTCTAACAAATAAATATCAATATGAATATCAATAGATTTAGGATCGATAACTTTTGTTGTTAATTTAAAAACAGTAAACGATTATAAACCAAGTGCTAACTACCTATTGGTATTATAGGAACTGTTATTCAGGAATACGGATTACAAGATCCCATTGATTTAATGGCTCACCCATTCATGCTATGCTAGCGTTTTTTCTGTGTATGAAAAAAAAATTCCAAATTATTTTTTTTTATTTCTGCTTATTATTTTTAATAAGAATATAGAATTATTATGTGCTACCTTATCAGAATAATAATCTCTTGAGATTTCAAAGATCTGTAAGCAAGTCATATACAGGGTGTTTCACGTTCGTGGTCCATTTCAAATTTTTGAAATTTTTAAATATCTCTAAAATTATTATCTTTAGGTATAGGGAATAGTTACATCAATACAAATGTTTTTTTAATTTTCTATTTGATTATGTAAAAACATACACACGGTGCTGTTCTGAGAGGTGATTTTTGGACTTTCTGTGAAACCTAATTTTTTTTTATATTTATGTTAATTAGGTCATAACTAAAATTTTAAGAGCAAAATAAAAAAAATTTGACGGTTAATTTTGTTTTAATTGGATGTTTATTAAAAATATGTATGCACACTTTCAATTCTCCAATAATTTAATTATTAAAACTTGCGATTTTATTTAAATATTATCATAACTTTTTAAATCAGATTAAAGATTAGTTAATTTCCTAAAAAAAGGTCTATAAATATTTTATATCTTTTAATGTTTTGTTGTAATACACGTTTAAAGTTTTAATTTAAGGTTATTTATTAAACAATAATTCTAAGGGTGCCACATTTTATTTAGGGCCGATTTATTCATTTTTGATTTATTTGACGAATAATTTCTTTGGATACTAGATATTGCCAAGGCCGATAAACTTTACTAAAGATGAATAAACCGGTCCTTAGTTAAATTTCATGAATTTCTTCGTAACTTTTACTACAATTTTTCATTTTTGTTTATAAAAAACACTTTAAAAAACTAAACAAAAATTATAGAATACGTATACTGAAAATGACAATTCAAACATCAAATAAATGTTTAATAGATCTAAGTTTCATGGCAACCTTTAAGGATATATTAATTAAGGGAACATAAATGTATACGTCAAAGGTTAGATTAAAAGTTTGAACGTTTATTGCAACAAAACAGTATATAAAAAAAATTGTAATAACCTTTTTTTTTAGTTATGCAAATATAAAATATTTAAATTAAATCGCTAGTTTTAATTTGATAATTGAAAGAGTGCATAATATTTTTAATAAACAGCCGATTTTATTTAAATATTATCATAACTTTTTAAATCAGATTAAAGATTAGTTAATTTCCTAAAAAAAGGTCTATACATATTTTATATCTTTTACTGTTTTGTTGTAATACACGTTTAAAGTTTTAATTTAAGGTTATTTATTAAACAATAATTCTAAGGGTGCCACATTTTATTTAGGGCCGATTTATTCATTTTTGATTTATTTGACGAATAATTTCTTTGGATACTAGATATTGCCAAGGCCGATAAACTTTACTAAAGATGAATAAACCGGTCCTTAGTTAAATTTCATGAATTTCTTCGTAACTTTTACTACAATTTTTCATTTTTGTTTATAAAAAACACTTTAAAAAACTAAACAAAAATTATAGAATACGTATACTGAAAATGACAATTCAAACATCAAATAAATTTTTAATAGATCTAAGTTTCATGGCAACCTTTAAGGATATATTAATTAAGGGAACATAAATGTATACGTCAAAGGTTAGATTAAAAGTTTGAACGTTTATTGCAACAAAACAGTATATAAAAAAAATTGTAATAACCTTTTTTTTTAGTTATGCAAATATTAAATATTTAAATTAAATCGCTAGTTTTAATTGGATAATTGAAAGAGTGCATAATATTTTTAATAAACAGCCAATTAAAACAATTCAATTTTTTTTTATTTTGCTCTTAAAATTTTAGTTATAACCTAATTAACAAGAATATAAAAAAAATAGGTTTCACAGAAAGTCCAAAAATCACCTCTCAGAACAGCACCGTGATACAGGGTGTTACATTCAAAATAAAAAAGTTATTAACGTTTGAAGTTGGACTAATTGGCCCTGGGTTTTCTCAGGTAATTTGTTGAAAAATGTTAGAATTGTCATAGATTCTTTTAAACAATGTTTTAAGATTCCAAAAATTTGACCCCCATATCCGCAAACCTAAAAACAAAAAAGTTATAGGCTATTTTTGATTGAAGCGAATTTAACAAATTTTAAGGAAAACTCGAAAACTATTCGCTTTAGGTATAGGACATGGTATAGTAATTTTACCCAGAAATTTATGTATAATTAAAAAATGTAAAAATCATATTTGAAATAATAAAGTTGATGTCACTTCCGGTCAAACCGGAAGTAACATATTGTTTAAATTATTTTAGAAAAATAGACCTAATTGGATTATAAACGCTAAAGTAAAAAGTTATGAAAGTAAAGTAAAAGTAGGGTGAAAAGGGTAATTAATATACGGTAGACTGGGCCAAAAAAATCGATTTTTTTTTGTAAAGTATATCGAACATATTGTTTAAAGTGACAAAAAAAATTATGGTGAAAGTTTGAGTCCATAATATTAATATTAAGAGGTCTATCATCGCAATTTTTTTTCCTGAGCGAGTTTTTGTCTCAGAAAATTGAATGCCTTAAAAATTGGTATAGTTTTACAATTTGATTTTTTAACTTTGGAATTTTGTAATTCATGTAAAAATCAGTACCCAGAAAAAAACCGATGAATATTCTTATGGGAAATAAAATGCTCTACAAAAAAAGTCTTCTAACATTTTTGGCTAAATTCACTCCATCAAAAGTTATTCAAGGTTAAATTTGACAAGAATTTAGTTTTGACTTCAACTTTAACCTTGAATAACTTTTGATTGAGTGAATTTAGCCAAAAATGTTAAGAGGCTTTTTTTGTAAAGCATTTGATTTCACATAAGAATATTTATCGGTTTTTTTTATAGGTACTGATTTTTACAAGAATTTCAAAATTCCAAAGTTAAAAGATCAAAATGTAAAACTATACCAAGGTTTAGGGCATGATTTTAAGAAAACGGTTCATTTGACGAAAAATTTCAATTAACCTTTTTTGTAGAGCATTTAATTTTCTTAAAAAAATATTTCCAAGTAAATTTTGTTAAACTCAATGGTTTGGGACTTTGGGAAGTTTAAAATAAAAATTAAATGATTTGAGGGGGAAATCAATCAGTACTAAAATTCTCTTAAAACACAATTTAAAAAAAAAATTATTTTCGAACAGTATAGTATTTCTTTAAAAAAAAATACCAGTCGATTAGTTCACGCGTCAGAGTGCAATTTTCCATAATCCTTCCGATAAAAAAAATTAAATCAATCAATAATTTATTTGCATTTTTCATGCGTAAATTAATTTAAATTTCATATATTAAACATTTATATTCAAAATATTATCTTTTAAATGTCGTTACCAAGAATGTCTACAAAAATTGTATAATTGTATTTTTATGGAATAATTTAAATTTTACAATAAATACATAGATTTGAAGCAAATTTGTAAAAATTAATTTATAAAATAAAAAAGGAATTTTTTTAATAAATATTTTTTTGGGTGGCGTGTTTACCTTTCGAGATTTTAGATCCTTGAATGGTTACGTAAAACCGCCGCGATGATTTAGGATAATAATTTCATTAATAACAAAATTGTGTCAAATTGATCGGTTTCGCAATTTTCTCGCTTGAATTTCGTGCACCTGACCGATTGACATTGACATTAAAAAGTCACTTTTTTTTTAGACTGTCGAATTGTTTTTCACATTTTTATTTTTAATTTCTGTTACGTTCGACAATTATGAAACTTGCACCATTTGGCAAGCAAATTTATGCTTTGTTATTGTAGATGGACGGAAGTCGTAAAAATCGATTTTTTACCTAGAATTTTGCGTATTGAGTAGAAATTCCCCAAAAAACATGTGGCCAAAATTTATTAAATATACAATGTGTTTAATTTTCATTGGCGACAATTCGATATGTTGGTATATTATATATATTGAGATGTCCCCCAAGTGAAAATGATTATTTTTTATTTTTGGTTGTTTCACTGTTAGTCTAGAATGGGGTTTTTGGGAAGCCACTAGGTCTAGTAATAACATTACATAAGTGATTCTGCACTAATACAAGAATTTTAAGAAATCATACATTTTGAATATTAGAGCTTCACGAGCTATCTTCACGGAGGTTATGATTTCGTATGTTTTTTTTTTAAACATCGCTTTGTGTATTTGAAATAAGTGATTGTATCTTATAACACCTTAATATTAAAAAAATAGAATTGTACATGTATACATAAAATTGTACATGTATACATAAAATATTTATAAAAAAAATCTACTTACTGAGATATTACACTTCACGGTGGATAGGTTTTTAAATAGCAATTGAATGAACTTAAACTTTTGAATTATAAAACA